TAACTTAAATCGAACAGCTTTGTCTTCCTCAGACAGGGCAATAAACCATTTGCTGAGATAAATTTGTTAGGTGCTCCACAGAAGTATATTAAGCTCTTTGATAAGGGACATTAACTTTCTTGAGTTATTTGATGGCTCTCTAACTCACTGATGCATTAATTTTCTAACTGTAGCAATTACCAAATAAGGAATTAAAAATAGAGAAAAGAATTAAAATCTACTGCTCCAAAGCACTTAACAATGCCCAGATGACTAAAATATTTGGGAAAAAATATTCTTCCAGTGCAATTTGCTTAGTAACAAAATTAGCTGCACTGATTGTCATATGCGTGAGGCAAATTTATAGTTTGTAACAGTGAGCACACTACTGCCACTGCCGCGATGAACATGTGAAATGCACAGACAGTGGCCGAGTGACGGACATGACAGACGTGAGCACCTTCACCCCGCTTCCCTGCAGCAGGGCGAGCACAGGAGCACGGCAAGGAAGCCACGGGCGGCGTGGCTGAGGAGGAAGGACAGTGATGAAGCATCGGTCTTAAATCAAGGGAAGCGCCACATCAACATCAGCATTTTCAGAGCTCTTAGGATGACAGGGGAAATTATGTCCATCACTTACTGTGCACTGGGGAGATTTTTCTAGATCAAGGATGTCGCTGCAGAAAAAGTACTGATAATGAAACATAAGAAGAAACTTAGAGGACTGAAACATCAGAACTCAGGAATAGGGGCTGGGGATTTAGCTTAGCGGCACAGCACCTGTCTGGCAAGTGCGAGGTTGTGAGTTCAATTCCCACTACCGGGAAAAACAACAACAAAAAAAAGAACTCAGGAACAAAGAATCCCCAGTTACAGTGACACTGTGTGGAGGCAGTTTTGCTTCATTTATCTTCCTGAAAAGTCACTAAATAAGAACAGAAAAATGAAGGAATTCACAGACCTCAGTAGTGCCTTTAGTGGGTCAAGCAGGAAACCATAACAGCAAAAGGTAACTTTGAGGAGTAGCAGCAAACCCACTGCCTGCTATAGAAAGTAAGCGGTGCTGAGGGAAAGCGTGCACGACAGCCCTCCCCTCCACCTCCTCCGGGCCTGACCAGGAACAACCTGCCCTCAGCAGTGTTCAGGACACTCCAAAGTCACCTCTCAGGAGCTTTATAGTGAGGGCCAATCCAGGCTGTGGCCGTCAAACACCCTGCCCTCCCCTGCTCCCCACGGGCGGCTTGCTGACAAGCACCCTGGAAGCCAGCTGGGCCAGCGCTGCACAGGGAGCAGCCGGAAGGGAAAGCAGGGTGAGGAAAGAAGGGAGGCAAAGAGTCGCACCTGGCAGCAGATACCTGCAAGGGGTGTGTTATGAACCCCACCAAGCTTTCTGAGCTAGAAGGCCAGAGAGCGTTCCAGGACAAAGAGAAGGGAGATGCCCTGAGACTAAGTCCAACATTGAGAAATTTGAATCAAAGCTCAGGAGTGGCTCAGCTCTCTCCTCCAACTTCTCTCTTCAGTCTCTCTCCTTCTCTTCCTCTCGCTGTCTCTCCCCTTCTCTCTCTCTCTCTCTCTCTCTCTCTCTCTCTCATTTCTGTGTGTGTGTGTATGTGTGTGTGTGTGTATGTGTGTGTTATTGGGAATTTAACTCTACATCCTCAGTGCGTTTTTATGTTTTAATTTCGCATTTTAATATCTTGCTAAGTTGGTGAGGCTCAGACTCATCGACTCAGCTTCCCAGATCAGCCTTCCAAATTGTTACAATTCCTACTCTATTTTCTAACAAATAGTAGTTCCATTCAAAGATGAGTGATAACCAAGGAGCACAGAACATGAGCTGAAAATAGGTCATGAGCTGAACAGAAGAGGCATGAAGTGTATTATGGATCAGCACTGGACAAGGCAGAGAACAAAGAACTTGCTCTCATGGAGCTTCGTTCTGGAACTGGAGATAAATAATATATGATCAACAAAAAAGCCTCATTAAATTAGAAAGTACATTAGAAAGTGAAAATTGTATGAAAAATTAGGAGAGCAGAGCAGGTAATGATGAAATCGACATTGCTAGAGAAGAGGGCAAGTGGCCGATCACACAGGACACAACTCACAGAAGCCATACCAGGAAGGTCAGACCTGAGTGGAGCCCACACAGAGGCACAGAAACTGAGCAACAGGACATCTAGTCCAGAGCACTTTAGGCTGAAGAGACAGCCCTCAGCTGTGTACCCAGTATGTATCCTGACACAGCGCAGGACCAAGGAAGCAGGGAGAACAAGGTGCCAGGAGCACAGGTAGCAGTCAGAAAGTTAATAGAGGAGTAGCAGGCAGAGTCCTCAGATGGTTCAGGTCATGGCAGAAACCCTTTTACTCTAAAGAAAATGAAAATTATGGTGGGAGTCTAAGTAAAGGGTGATGAGATCTGACTAATGATCTAAAGTGAAAACCCAGTTTCTAAGCTTAAAATAGACTTTCAGAGGCAAAGGTAAGTGCAGGAAGTCCTTTAAGAAACAACTTCACTTGTCTGGGTAAGAGACACGAGGAGGCAGTCGTGGTTCACTGGAAAGTGCGGTCTTCAGGACACAAGTTGAAAGAGCCCCCAGAGCTTGTGACACACCAAGACTGAGTCGTGAGGAGGGGAAGAGGGGATAATTCTAAGCTCACCAGGAAGAGCACGGGAAAGGACAGAGCCGTCACCAGCTAAGATGGAAAACAATGGAGCTGTGCACAAGGACAAAGGAGAAGGAATATATGTATCTGGAGTTCAGAAGAGAAGTCATCTAGAAATGTAATTCTGTTGGTGCCAGCTGTTATACAGTATTTAAAGCCAGACGAGTTCAGACACAGTTGAGCTTCCCAGAAAATGAGTGGTGACAGAAGGGAGAGGAGCCCCTCTACCCCCGAGACTGGGCGGTCCCAGTTCTGAGAAGTGCAGCAGTATAGGAACAGGAAGAAACCCAAACTGCTCCTGGCACAGCCTGTGCTCTGCGATCACAGCTGCGTGGGAGGCGGAGGAAGCTAAAGATGGAGGACCGGGAGCTAGAGGTCATGTCGGGACACTGAGCTAGGCGCGCTCCGTGTTAGAGAATAATATGTTCGATAGAAGGAGGCTTTTAAAGGAGTATAACAGTGAGACATTGTCTGCTGACAACAACCCAACAGATTTTAAAAGACATCATTAAAATAGAATATTATTCCAACTTCTAAAACTTTTAACATGTGTAGAAAGTGGGTTTGGGATGTCGCCCAGCGGCACCCAGCCTGCCTGGCAAGGGCAAGATCCAAAGTTCGATTGCTGGTACCAAAAAAAAAAAAAAAAAAGGAAATGTGTCCTTGTGAGAAATAACATATTAAAGAATCAACAGTACCCAATTTCTGTAACATTTTATTAAATTTCACTTTATTCAAGTGAAGTCAACCTGAACAGTAGTACTTTCAAATGTCATTGCCTATGTTTCCAATTTTATTCTTTCTCTCTAACTTTTCATCAACAAAGAAAAAGTGAGAGAGAATTTATTTGACAGGTTTTTAACTAGCTGTTATATTAATAATCATTTTTAAGGTATGATTTGCCATGGTTTTTTAACTCTCTTTTTTTAGTGGTAGGCATGTGTCTATTCTAAGACAAGCACCGCGTCCCAAGTAACCTAGAAAAGCACAGCAACGGAAAGGTAAATTAGGTCTCTACTTCAGTGATGCTGAGTAAGCAAAACTGTGAAAAACAAAAATATTAAAGTAAAAAAGGGAAAAGTTCAGTGTTTGAAAGAATGTTGATGGACTTGCAAAATTCCCTTCTCATAGAATTTTTAGTACTATAGCATATAATATTTCTACAGAATCCATTTTCTTTCTCTATTGCTGTATATCTAAGAGATATACAAAATATTCCAAAATTACAACAGAGGTTATCTCCTGATGGTGAAATTATAAATATTAATCATTTTATCCTAGGTGACGTATACTTATAACCTCCATGGTGTGCCATATTTTTGAATTCCTGATTCCCTGAATCAAGATAACTCATAAATCAGTGGTGTCTAGATTTAAAGACATGATGATTTTGAAACTCTCATATTAGGATATTCAAAATAAAGGAGAGATGCTGATTGAAAATATATCCCAGAAAATAGTTGCCTTAATACCTCAGAATGGACTCAGTGAGGTCCCTGAGATGAGTGAGGAGTGGTCACGTGGCTGTGGGTGAGACTCTTTGTGTCAGTTTGGTCAGGCTAAGTTAGGCCAGCATGTTCAGCAGGAATGGAGCTATCTACTGTGTATAAGACCAAGACAAGGAGAGCGAGGGCTTTGAATAAACACAAAAACAAAACTTTCCTGCAACATCCCATTTGAACTTGAATGTGACATTTTGAGAAAGAACTTACTAATCAGCTCAGTCAGAATAAGATCGAGGAGGACAAGGGGTGTTCATCATCATACTCTCTTTCTGAGTAGGGCCTATCTGTGAAATTATTCACTCTTAAAACACAACCACTCCGAGAATTAGGAACTTCTTTCCTGCCCTTGCATAGATGAGTCCATTGACTGCCAAATTTGATCAATGCATTTCCTACAATTCTCATAAAAATATAAAATAACCTTCATAGAATCAAAAGTGACCTCACCCGCTCCCTAGCTTGGTGCACCATGTGCACTTTCATTTCAGACCTTTTCCCCAGACAGAACACAGCATGGATCTGCACCTTCCCCTTGACTGTACCATGTGCAGAATTTATTCCACTAACATAGTTCCTTTGCCTTTAGAGCAAATTCTTAAGGACATATTCACAAGTAAATGAGAAGCAGAAAGTGATCATCTTTCTTAGAATATTGAGTTAGCCTTCACTGGCCTCTAAAATAATAACGAAATAGTGGTAAGATTTAAATAATTTTTTAATTTATATCAGAAACTCTCATACCGAGGAAAATTCTTATATCTAAATGCACGATATAGTCTTATTTTCGGTTTAATTTTCCAAACATGCAGCAAATTCTTTCAAATAATGAAGTTTAAGAAAATTCCTTACCCAGTAAGTTTGACTGCATGTGTCCGAAGCTTTCGATATTTTTCTGAATCTTCATTTGTGCTTGTAACATGTCTATATATCCCTCTCTTGTAAGAGAAGAAATCTTCGTGGACTTTCATTATGGCTAAAATAAAACCCCAGGATAAACGGTACAGTTTTTAAAGATCATCTTTAAAAACCTCCAGAACTCTTCCAGAATAACCAATGGGTAAATTTCAAGGAATTGAAACTAAGACAGGATTACGTATTTCAGCCTATTTGGGTTTCTTACTTAATTTAATTGGTTACAATATGTTCTTATTGTTTTACACAAACAACCCTTAGCTGCTTGGGCTGTTGCACAAGGACACTACCCCAGTGCAGGGGCTCGCTGGCTCTCCCTGCAAAGGCCCGCCACACTTGGTGAGCGGTGGGGGGACATTTGTCCCTTAGCCTTGTGCTTCGGCACAAGCCTCTTAAAACCTCAAGTAACCAGCAGAGAAAGATGACCCTGCCACTCAGGCTTGCAGCAACTGTTCTCCATTCTTACCAGGAAATGCAACTCTTTCCTTGCTGAGCTTGAATAAGAAGCCACTCCTTGGCAAAAGAAGACTCTGACAGGACTTCACTCCAACCCAGGGAGCAAAGCCAGCGTTGTGTTCTTTGAAAAGTTAAGCTTACAGTGCATAAAGCTTTCTTCGTCCCTCGCCCAAATGACTTCTTTTGTGTGTTGTGTGCTGCTTTGTGGAAGTGCTTGGGCAATTTGGGGTAAAGACTCTAAACTTCTCTTCTGGAAGGCGTGGACAGAGATTTTCGATTGGGAATCTGTATCTTGATACCAATGAGCAACGCTTATCTATCCTAATTCAACATGCACTTGAAATAAAACAGGAACTAAGGTCACTAGCATTCAATAGATCCTAAAATAAAGCTTATACTTGAAAGTCAAATATAACTTGTTAATATTCCATTTATTTCATTTTTAATGTTCTATGCCTTTTCTGGCCCTGTTAAATAGTCTTACAAGAGGGTAAGGCTTTATCTTCTCTAAAACATCCTCCCTATGCAGAGCTCTGCTTTTATTCTTCCGTCACCTGTACTTATTTTTAATTCCACAGATTTTGGAAGAATGCACAGTGTTAATTATTCAGTGCTCATTCCTCTGACAGCTTTTGTATGGAGACAGGGGAAATGCTGTGTGTTAGGCCAGGCAACAGTGCACTGACAACCACGTTGCATCTACAGGAAAAAACAAACAGCGCTCTATCCACTCACAGAAATGCAAAGATATGGCTAGCGATTTTTCCTTCTTTAGAACCACTGAATCTTTAAACTTGTATGATTCAGCTCTATGTGAAGCACCATGAATAAAATATATTCTTCATTGCTGAAAAACATTGCCAACTGGAGGCTGAGAAGGTGACCTTCTTCGGCTCCTGACACCAAACCAAACCAGTGAACAATAATAAGCCTATAATTATCTAAGTTACGGCAGTGCGATTCCACTCTTGGGAAGCTGCAGTCAGCGCGTCCTGCAGAAGTGAAACCTGCGGCGGGCAGGAGGCCGTGGCCGTAACTGCCGCTCAGGCTGCCAGGGAGCTAATTACCAACAAAGCTTTGCTAAACGGGTGTCGGGTAATTTGCATTTTTCTTTTATTGCTTTGACATTCTTTTCTGTTCATTTCTCAATCATGTGAAATATGTGAACATTTATGTATATGACCATAAAATATGCCTAACATCATCTCAACTTTAAATAATTACAATTTAAAATTTCATGGACCGATTAAAAATAGACAGGGGAATAAAACCCAGAAACAGGAATACAATGATTTAAAGATTCAGAGGAATTGAGTAAATGACCAAATTCATTTAGGTAGCAAGTGCCAAAGTCAGAATTTGGGGTTTAGGCTTGAGTGCAAATGTCCCTGCTCCTTCAGATCTGTGGCTAAGTCCAGCTTACTGAAGCACACAGTGAAAGTAGGCACGATTCCCCATAACAGTCAGTGAATCACGCAGCTGTACGGAGATAACAGCTTCTCATTTGTTTCAGATTTCGCATAAGGGCCCAAGATTTTAAAAATTAAATTCAGGACATGTTTCCAGGGAAGCAAGAGATTTATTATAATACGATTACTATAAACTTCATTGTTCCTGCTATACGTTGAACTAATGCTAACTAGGTTAGCATTAAGAAAAAAAGAAAAACAGGGCAATAGATTTTTAAGTGTATATCCAATGATTCAGGTTAATTTTGTACTCTTCTGAGTGGATAATATTTGAGAGCTGCTCCAAATGCACAACCTGAATTCCCATTTTATGCCTCAGTGGGTCTCTCCTTCCAGGCAATATGTGTGCAGGAAACATGCTTTGTGAATTTATCCTTACCCATGTTATTTGTGCAAAATAAAATTCAATACTAAATGAAAGGAACTATTAGAAGAGATGATATCTTAAACATAACGTCAATGTACAGCAATTCACTGTGCAACTTTATTATTTACTGTTATTTTACTCCCAATAACACATTTAAAAAATTGGTCAAATTCAAAAACCTTTTGTAAGACAGAAGAATCATACTGATTACTTGATTTGATTTCCCTCCCCCCGCTTTTTCTCTAAAGACACGGTCTCTCCACTATGTAGCCCAGGCTTGCCTTGAACTCATGTAGCCCAGGCTGGCCTCGAACTCACAGCAACCCTTCTGCCTCAACCACCCAAGTGCTGGGGTTACGGGCATGTACCACCATGCCCAGCTTAATTTCTTTCAAGCTAATAGAAAAAGGAGTGCACATACTTTGTTTTCACTATTATTCCCAAACTTTTTCAATTCCTTACCTCATCCATTTAAACAAAAGGTAATTAAATATCTACCATTCTGTTCCACTCTTAAATACTATTAAATGAATAAAATGAGCCTCATTGCAAATTAATCTCTTGATATTTCAAGTTTGACTCTTCTTTGGTCCATGATCACCTTGAGGAGACTTAGCATCTTTTTGTCAATGTGTCATTAATGTTTAACAATCCAATTTATAAATAATTCTATCTTCTTGAAATGTCAGCTAATGTTATAATTAGATGAGTAAAACTCTTATCACTACATTGATTTTAGGACTATTGAGCTCTTAAGAGGAATACCAAGTAATAGATCTTATCTTTTGTTAAAGTTCTTTAATATGCAGTCAAGGTAATGTTGTTCATTAAAGAAATGAATAAGACAAAGCCATAAGTCATCCAAGCTTACCTTGAACTGGCCCATTTTTCATTATTTCTTTCATGATCTGTGTTTCCTGGAAGGAAAGGCATCGGTGAGTACCATCGTTGTTGTGAGACCTACAAAACCTGCTGTCTGCTTTACAGCATTAGTTGGTATATAATCAGTGCAGTTGCTGCATAACCCACAGTGGCTTGACTACTTGCAATTTACTCTTCATGATGCCTTGAAATGCTCACAGGTGAAATATCACATTAATGAAGGAGCTAAAGACAAGATGTGCTCACTTGTTTTGCTGACTTTTACCAGTAAATAATAATTAACTCCTCATGGTTTAATTGACAAGAACTGGACTCATATATCAGGAGCATTGTGAACAGGTAGAGAGGGTAAATACTGGGCCATTTTCTGGAGATAACTTGCTGCCACTGAAAGGTCAGATAGTTTGAAAATAAGATGGTAAGGAGTATCAGTGAAATGATTTGCCTAGGCTTTAACATGACAAACGGGAATAAAAGTCTTCTCTATTATGGCTAAATTCATTTCAATTACTGTAGATGGGTGAAAAGTAACTACTACCACAAAAACTGAGTGAAAGGAGTTTGATGTGGCTTTTAATTTTCCAGTTTACACACACACACACAACATAATTAAAAACCTATTTCCTTGGGTGTCGTTTGAATTTAATTCAATCCTTGACATTGTTAGTAATATAAACATTGGAGTTCTTACCCAAACTGAGAGTCTTCAGTTTAAATGTTAAAGCTCTACTGTACATTTTAAGAACATCAAAAACTGTATCTGACCATTGGTAAATTACTCTATTATTTCTAATAATTTTTATTATTTTTTATTCTCTTTAATGGTTTGATCAATCTTGCATTCTTACATCTGGTAATCTGAGCAACTTCACTGAAGATAACAATATGTAATAGAACAATCACTGTTAACTTCTATCATTTTGTTTTGAAACTCTGTATTATTTTTATTGTTTTTGTGTTGTTTTGTTTTTGTCTATGTTGTTATTTTGTTATTGTTTTTTATTCTCTTTGAAATAAAAAAAAGAAAAAACTGTATCTGGCAACATGACATTTATTTTAGATTATAATAGCAATGCCTGAGTCAGAATTTTGAGTTTTAGAATTTTAACCTCCTCTTTTGGGCTGTAAATCACTTTTATTTGGTATTAACAACAGCAAAGCTTTATATGTTTGAGGGTGATGACCAGTGTCAGTCTTTGCCGTCTCAACTTACGTTGGAAGAGACTCTGTATGGCGGGGAGCACTGGTAGATCCTGTTGGACTTCTCTATGTTGTTGGGGCATGGTGTTGTGGCATGCCGTTTCCCTCGCCCATCTGACCTACTGGCCATAGCACATCCATTGGTAGCGTTTTGGTCCTTGAAAAATGGATAGCATGCGTGAGAGACCAGCCTAAGAGAAATAAGAAAACGAACAAAGGTATTATTTTGTGAAATACCATAATAACTTGTCTATATTCAACTTTACTAAATTAAAATTCATAATTTATGCTGGTTACCTACATGGAGCATAGCTTTTAAAATGCCAGCTCCAACCCAGCAGCTCGATGGCATTATATTCCTCCCTGTGTCATGATTTCTTCATTATAAATTTTAAAATCTTACTTCACTTCATTTTAATACATAATTCTCTCTGCAGTACAGCATTTCCCAAAGACAAAAAGTAGCCAGCAATAAAGTCTGAGCTAGTATTCATTAAGAGGGGAAGGGCTCCTTCAACCTGCACATACAATAATCGTGTAGAAGAGTCAGACTGAATATGAGAAGGCAACTAATTTGATTATTCACGAATAATAGAATAATCTGATAAATTATATATGTTTTAGCATTAAGGTTAGTTCTCATTTTGTTGAATTTTTTTAAACACCAAAGTGAGCCTTCCTTTGAATAAGGCCTGTGCTGCAGCACAAGGTCAGTGCCCTGGAAAGAGAAAGAGAACCTCCTCCATTAAGCCGAGAAGCAGCTGGGGCGTGCTGCTTAGATAGTGACTTGTTTTGTGGGTATTTTTAAGTTATAGTTTTTAAACAAAACTTGGAAGATGATATGTCTGCAGTTCATGATACCCTGAGGAAAATAGTAGAATACTTGGCATGCATCAATTAAAAAGTTAGAAAGTTATCAGATATCTACACTGTGTAAAAGATTAAAAAGTACTTTGATTTCTGATTTTGAAGCTGGGCGTAACAAAGTACTAAATATTTGGCTCCAAATCCTGTGAAATCTAAAAGAAGACAATGAGAGAAGTAAAATCATGGAATTAGATTAACAACTATTCAATGCTAAAATGTCCATAAAAGCATCCACTAAAGCTGATTCAAGAAAATGTAAGAGTGTCCAACACAGTATGAGAATTTGACATAGAAGATGCTGAAAACAGTCATTACACAGACTCAACACTTTTTAAAATCTTTACCGAAAGTGCTGCATTTGCTTTAAACCTTGAGTCTGTGGACTGACCTGAGTTAATATGCAGTCTGCATGTTAAAGATCTACTGCCTGTGTGATGATCTGATACAAGCCTTTGGGAGAAGCAAATGTGGACTCTGGCTGGGGTGAGCGCGCACAAGGAGAGAGACACCAGCAGCCCTCCACCTTCCGCAAGCCATACCGGCCCTGAATCAGTCAGTAGTTGGCCTTGGACCTTGCAGCCTCCCGAACATGCTCTTACTTGAGGTGCTCCACCTATGGTATTTTGCTATTTGTCTCAGAGGTAATTTATATTTCTAAGCTTCTAAAAGTCTTTTATTTCTCTTCACAGTATAAAACAGAAGCCAATCGCACAATTTTACACCAGAAAATTATCAGCTGAAGCTCCTCATGTAAAGCACTACTTTATTACACAAAATACATGAAAATAATTTTTTAAACCTCTAGCCATTAATCACCAGCTGACGCTCATGTCCGCTCATAGACTCCAACTGCTGTGTAGCGAACCCAGAGCAGTGAGAGGGTGGTGAAAACACGGGGGCCACTGTGTCACCCACTGGTTGCCTGCTGCTGTTCCTCCACTGAGTAGCTGGGCGCTGATGTAGATGAGCTCTTACAGGCCCCACAAGGACGCTGGGCGGATTCAGGACAGATGTGAATCAGTGTTTCCCCAGTGGAACAGGAGCAAGTCATGAGACTGATGAGTTGAGGCAACCATACAATGCTTCCTGATATTTAATACAATTTTTTCTGGAATTATCTGTCCTTCAATTTGGGAAACTAAAAGGTACACAGAAGTATCAGTGGCATTGATTACTTATTCCTTCTGTGGGGAACCAATAGATCTATTCGACTCAGAAGAACAAAAAGAAAGTATTTACGTGAGTACTCAAGTTCATATTTGCATGCATTTGCCTGGAAAGGTCTGTGTTCTTCAATAATTACTTCCACAGCCTTTAACCGCAGTAGATATATAACAAATATTTATTTTTATAACATATACTTAAATGTGATGTAGGTTTATATTTATAGAAGTGGTGCATATGTTTCAGGTTTTTTTCTTTTCCTTTTTGATAGTGCTGGGGATCAAGCTCAGGGCCTCATGTATACTCAGCAAACCCTTGAGCACTGAGCCATGTACCCAGCCTAAGTTTTGTAAAATAAAAAGCTGAAAATGATTTTAATTTGTTTTAACTGAAAGCAAAACCCATAAGAAGCCCAAAAACACATGTTGAGCAGCTATTTACCCACGTTTTCTCAGGTACCACCAAGCCCTATCGACGCTTCCACCACTGCATCCATGACGGTGCCTGGCACAGCAAGAGATCAGATTCTGAGGGGAGAGATTGGCTGTGTAGCGGCCATCAGACTGAATTGCTATTCGGTCAGCGGCCACACCTGTTCCAAGTAGAATATTGATTAATACTCAAATTGCACGTCCCACAGTAATTACAATTTACATAGCCTTTGTTAGTTTTCAAAACTGTACAAATTTGAGAGCCAAATGTCACCAATTTATCTAAGCGTTCAGCCAGTTCAGCTGTGTCACGTCATAGCGTCTCTCACACGCTCATATCGCTGCAGTAACTCAGTGACTTTACAGACTTTTTCAGCTCCTTGCCCCTCTCATCTCCACTGAGAAACCTGCCAAGGGGCGGGCTTTTGAGGGCAAGACCACATGTTATGCATTTCTATTCCTTACGCTGAGAGTGTCCTGCGTGCTGTTATGAGTAACTATACCTTTAAACGAATGTGAGTAAACTGAGGAAGTCAGGGAAGCTGATCACACCTCCATGGTAAGTTGACACGTTGGAGTAAATTAGCTTTTTGGTTTTATCTAATGTAACTGCCCAGGAGACCATACTTCAGCTAATTCATACCATTATGAATCTGTCTTGAGAAATATTTAAAAGCTACATAGCACAGATTTACGCTTATCACATGATTGCAAGTCATTATCTTAATTGTATTTCAGTAGATCTAGGATTCACCTTTTCTATACATATATATGCATAGATATATGCATACGTGAGTATATTATGAGCTATAATTATAACAGTCATTAACAATATAATTACTAACCATATTAGTTACATACAGCTATTATAAAAAGCTATACATGTAATTATGCTTATATTATATATTACTATATATAACTATCCTATATATGTAACTGGGGATATACAATGTTTTACATATATAGCTAAAAATATAGTTATTATAATTACTACTAACTATTGCAACTATATTAATTAGTATTACCAGTAATATATATATACATTTATTTTTATGACTGAGTCTCTATGCCTCAGTTTAAATAACTGATAATGTTATTGTTGTACAAGTTGATTCCTTTCTTCAGTGCATATGTTGAGTGCTTGCTAATATTACAAGCACTAAAGCATTAGAAATCAGAGTGATTAAGCAAGAGACACGGTGCATACAATAATCGACAAGGGAGAAAACCAGCAGGAGAAATCAATACATGTTCTTGTTTGATCATGCTCTCAAACCTAATATGAATATGCTTTTCAATAAATTAATATGAATGATGAGAACATGACAAAGTTAGGGTAGATACTATCTCAATAACAGGTCTATGTTTTTATTCGACACCTAGAGCAGTCTTTGATGTTTAGTTTCAGGCTAAACCCTAGAGATTATGTTCCTCAATTTTAATTAAAAGCAACAAAGTCCTAACATTTCTTCTATCCATTTTTTTGAGTAGATATTACAAGTTTTTTTCTCTTTAAAATTGCCTGTGTACCAGACTCAACTGGGGTGTTAATTTGAATATTTTCATTTTAAAATAATTCCTTTACATATGTATCTCTGTATGATTTTCATGCGACCAATAGCAGCTGTACAACTCTGCAGTGCAATTGTTGGCACATGATAGATGCTTAGTATGTGCTAAATCTATACCATCTCACACTTCATCCTTGATTTCCATCTATTATTTTATTAGGATACTCTTCGTAGTGACAAGTAGCCTTATATTGCCATCTGTGATGTTCTCAAGAGAATAACTCCTTGTTTCATAAAACAAAGTAAACATTCCTTGATATTTTCACAGTTGGTGCAAGGACTTAGAATTAATGATAAATTTTTTAAAATGTTAGCTCAACTTCTTTCTTTCAGAAAATGCTTTTGGGATGTAGCAGAAAACAGTAGCCAACCAGGTGGAAGCCCAGCCCTCAGGATCACCTCTGACACTGCTCCTTTGTGGCCTGAGGTAAGTGACTTCCCCTACCTGCACCTCCTTCGCAAGACCAAAGGCCCAAAGAAGGTGTGGTGACCCCTAACGTCTCTTCCAGCCCCAGGAATCTGGATTTCAACCAAGGCCGCATGTTTTCAGCCCTAATGTTACGCAATGTGTTGTTCTTACTTATGTAGATGTTTCTGGATCTCATTGAAAGTTCAGTTCAAATTCACTTGAAAAGTTTCAAAAAGTCAGCGACTTAAGAATGACTCAGCACAGCCAGTGGTTTTCCACTCTGTTTTTGAGAACTTGTCTTGGGCCCAACCTCGGAGACAGGCTCGAATGTTTTCTGTTTATTTTATTCAGTCTCCAAAGTTATTTGGTGACGCATATCACTCCCACCACTGCAAATGTCTTCACCTCTTCAGCTTCTGACAAGCAATGAGAATTTTATTTTGTTATATAACTGTGTGTGCACCTGTTTTTATGCATCATTCATTCCATTTGTACTTTTTTGTTTTCTCTTAAAATTTTTTAACTACTTCGGGACACAATTTTCTAGCTCTTAAGAATTTATTCTTTTGGGGGCTGGGAACATAGTTCAGTGGCATAAGCGCTTGCCTGGCAAGCGCAAGGTTGTAAGTTTGATCCCTGGTACCGCAAAAAAAAAGAATTTATTCTTTTCCTTATTTAGCACACAAATAAAATAGACCCGATTTACAATAATAAATACACAAGATACAACACTGTGTTCTCTGAACCCACAGAAGGATTGAGAACAGGTTTTCCGGTGCTGTCATAAGTGAGGCAAGAGGACAATCCAGATGCAGCCTACCGCTGCGAGATCTGGGAAGACAACAAAAATCACCCCAGGTCAGCCTGGGAAGTTGCTCTCAGAGCTTCACCTCTAACAGTGTCCCTCAAATATCTCCAAAAGTACTCATATAAATAAAGGCCGTGCTCTTCTACATGACCTAGGAGGTATAACCCATTCACCATGTGAATGTAAGTGGCAAGTAATTAATCTGATTAACCCCCCACACGCATATGAATGAAGCAAGGCTTGGAAAGCAAATCCCTGACTCGGTAAGGACAAACACCAGATAGCAGGACAACGTGTGCATCAAGGAGGTGAGAACAGTGCATAAGTAACAGATGAACCCACCCCTCCCCTGAGGGGAGCTTGGACCATTCTGGAGGAACCCGCTGACACTAGGCAGTAATGATGCACAGACAAAAAGATCAGCATGCTGCCCTTTGGAGCTGGCTTCTCCAAGAGCTCACACGCATGTCTCACAGTGCTTCCAGTGCTGTGAGCTGGGGGAACCGCTCTTGGAACTTACTGACAGACCTCAGAAGGCAGCTTGATGGAGATCTGTGAAAGTGGCCGTCATCAGCATGTTAGGTTCTATTTCATAGCTAACATTTAACCAGCACTCCTTTGAGAATAACTTTGGAGATCAAATCTTTGGGTTAGCTTCAGTAATTTATTTTCTGGGCTTGTGAACTTTCATAAAATTAATATAAAAGAAATGTTTTTACACTTTTGGATTAACAGTTTGGAAGCTAATCTTATGAAAAGATCGACTATATCACTTCAGAATAAGAATCTAGACCTTTACTTATTTTTATTTAAAATGTGATAAAACCAATTTGATTCGATATTACTGCTAAGATTTTACTTTATTTCAAAATGATTTAATATCTAAATATGTTTTTTATAAATCCTATAGAAAGAAAAATATAAAAATTACATGCACATTAGAATTATAGATATATTATGACTGAAAAGGCACATTACATACTCATTCTTCTTATTAGCTGGTTCTTAACTCTCAAAAAATTAATAAACCTTGCCAGCATTACTTTGTTGCTCTTTTGATTCTTTCTTTATTTAAACTTAGAGATTAGTGACCAATTTTTAGACCAAAAATAATCTTCAGGCTGCTTTCTCTGGCTAAATTTTGTCTAAATTTATTAAGAGTTCTAATTTTAAAAATCTTTTAATTACTCTCACAGGCTCTAAAGCCAGAGGGTAAACTATAAAAAAGGAATGGAAATGACTTTATTACTTGCTGTGGAAAATGCCCAGGATGCAGCACAGTTTTTTTGATCCAGTGGGCCGTGGGTCCATCCTGGCCACTTGTAAGAAGCAATAAAAAATTCTGGAAGATCACTTTTGGCAGGTAAAGCAGCCTAGAAGAAAGACAGACAGAAATATCAGATTTTCTCAAATGCATCCCAACTTCCATCGTGAGATGATATCATTGCCCCATTAATGTTTATTATTACTGTCTAATTATTTTGTACATTCACATTTCTGAATAAAATAGAGCTATATATGATTTCCACTTCACTCTCTATTTAGAAATGACAATGCAATGAGGGGAATCACAACATAATACAAAATCATAATGAACAACACACGGAAGTCATTTTTTTGTTTACTGCACAGTGCAATAATGTAAGCCAGCATTTCTGTGATCTTGGATCAGTTTGCTCATCCACATGAGAGACCCACGAGGTTACGTAGACCCGTGCACATAAGGAATGTTTACTTTCCTGCTCCTCCTGTTTGGGAGAATGTGTGTGATTCTGCAATGAACTCAATTCTTAAATTGTGCGTTTATAACACCTACCTTTTAACATACTGAGAGCCCTTCAAATGTACCAATTTTATACCAGTTACTGGGAATTGGTTGATATTTATAAAATTCTTAAAGATTTAACAGGACTTTAAGAAGTTTGTAATACTAAAAGTACACAACCATGATGTCTCAAAAGTCCATGTTATAGTCCTGACAGAGTCAATATTCGCTGGTGTCTTTTCCAAAGGCAAATTAAATATTATATTTCCTTTTCTTGGGCTTCAAAAAATTAGAAACAATGTCTTACTATTTTTAAACTTTACTAAGAGTGATGCTATTCACATCTAAATAATCAGAGTAAATCAAATAGGGATTTGTTAATTGTCATCATTTATATACACAGACTTATACACACTCATCATTTTTAAAGTGCTTTAAAGTCTTCCAGGTATTTCAATATTCATTATTTTCCTGTTTCTCCATAGCCCTATGTGATATAACCAGGAAAACATTATTAGCTCTTCTTTATAAAGGAAGTAACTCACTTCTAAAACTTAGAAGACATGTTAAGGACTCTCAGATAAATAAGATTTACTACTGGAAATAGAACCAGGTTTTGAAAGTCTTAAGAGCTCACTCAATTTCTATTTTCTTATTTTATCATGATATGGATGCATCACCTTGTAGCAAAAGTAAATTGTCTCTAAAAGGTAAAATGTTTACCTACTGCAAGTCTTCTGACTATGGACCAAAGAGTAGAAGATACTGATCTGTTATAGTGTAAAGTGTCTTCTGACAGGTACATAATATTCTCAAGGTCTAAAAAAAGTAAATTTAGGGGCTGGGGATTTAGCTCAGCGGCAAAGCGCCTGCCTGGCAAGCGCAAGGTCCTGAGTTCGGTTCCTGGTACCGAAGAAAAACCAAAAAAAAAAAAAAAAAAGAAAGTAAATTTAGAATTTATATGTCTGCTTGGAAAGGTACCCCTCAGAAATAATTTATAAATTTAATCATTAACGACAGCATTCAGTTTTGATTTAGAGAACTACTGCCACGTGATAAGGGGGCTATGAAACCCCAAGCCCAGTACTGACCACACCGCTTAGCTCGGTGATGAAGGAAAGTGCAGGAGCATCTGGCAGATGCGGTGTCTGCAGGGTAACCTAGGAGCAGTCTAACACACCAGGCAGCTGGGATTCTGATGCCATCGAAGGATCAGGCTGAAGAAGCCGAGAGTTGGAGTAGAATATATTTACCGCTCAGAGTAGGAGAGGTTCAGAGGTACAGACTCAGTCTCCAAAAATGTCCTTTTAAGTGGACCAGAAACACACATCCTATACATCACTCTTACCCTGCAATGTTGCTGTTATTATTAACATTATTGGCTCATCACTGTACATTTAGCCCTTTGTCATACAGTCTCAGTTTTCCAGAAAAGCAGCTCCAGTCCACTGATATTTCATCACCTTACAGTTCCAGTTTACTAACAGGACTAGGACATACCCTTCTGCTCTGCTGATGCCATAAAGGTGTCACTCCTACTTCAAACGCATTTCCGTAGGGCTGAGCTATTTTCAATCTGATTTCCACATTGCAGCTACCAGGGTGCTCCGCACGTGAGCGACGCTGGCTCTGGCAGCAATAAGGCACATATCAGGCAGAGTCCACCCGTCAGCAATGCGTTTCACCTGGGCATGGTAAGGTGAGCTATTGTGCCAACAAGCACGTTTGACTTTTATGATTTAGTCTTTAAAATAAAGTGAATGGAGCTGGGGATGTAGCTCAATAACACAGTACCTGCCTGGCAAGCACAAGGTCCTGAGTTCAATTCGCGGTACAAAAAAAAAAAAAAGATGATTTTGAACTAAAAGAAAGTGAATGAGTTACCTTTCTTAATAAGGTAAGGCAAAAGAGAAACAAAACGACATTTTTATTGAAAATATGTTTACCATTTCACTAAACTAAGTGAATTTATCTATTAGATTTTTATATTTTTGCCACTTATTGAACATTACTTTTCCTAAAAATGAATCTCTAGAACTTGAAGCCCATCAGATCCATATTACCTGGTGAATTTATTAGACAATTTTATATCAGACAATCTAATCTAAAAATGCAGAGAAAGTTTTATATTTCACAATTGTTGTATTATTCTGTAAAGAAAGAATATTATTTAGAGCTTATAAGTAAAGTATCACAAAATGATGGCTTTTAAGAATCAGTAATAGGGGCTGGGGATTTAGCTCAGCGGCAAAGTGCCTGCCTGGCAAGCGCAAGGTCGTGAGTTCAGTTCCCGGTACCGGAGAAAAACCAAAAGAAAAAAAAAAAAGAATCAGTAATAAAAGTGTGACTTCACTGATTGATGTATTTTTATTTTTGTTTTAAAAATAAAAGGAGGAAAACATTAACAGACAGACAACATTTTACAAAATAGCAAAAGAAAGTACAGACAATACGGAGTTACAAACAAAGTGGTAGGAAATTAACAGTGCTTGTTGTATTACATATTGATATCTTCAAAGTGGTTTGATTGATGTATTTTTAAATTTTTCTTAATTTTTTGTCAAAAGAAGAACTAGTAAAGTAAAAGAATCAAGAAGACCAGCTGAGACTGACAAGAATTCTAAAATTAGTGTCTTTAGCAAGACAGACAACATACAAACTTGTATTTAAGCCAGGTTTACACACTTCCACATGGCCATTCAAAATCCTTTATATTATTGTTTAAAAACATTTTAATCATGTATTTCCAAATTCAACATTCGCCAGATTTCAAATTAAATTTTAACACTCTTCCTTTTTTTTTTTTTTTTGGTTTTTCTCCGGTACCGGGAACCGAACTCACGACCTTGCGCTTGCCAGGCAGGCGCTTTTGCCGCTGAGCTAAATCCCCAGCCCCCCACTCTTCCTTTTTTAATAATTCCATTTGGGAGTTAAAAGTTAAAGATATTCTGGACAAATATTATTCAGTGCAGTGGTAAGCACTGGGGAACTTCTTTACATAACTCCTGAGTTTAACTGAATTAATCTCTGGGTAATGGGAATAGCAGAACGGTTTGAGACGAACAGCTTGATTTTCTAAGAGCCTCTGTATAAGTGCCGTGCGTCCTTACTGGAGTCTCTCCCTCCGCCACATCCATTGTGTGACTTGGTCCCTCTCACTCCACTTGCAGTTGCCCTTTCTCCACTTTAATTGGGATAGGGAAAGAGACTTACGGATTAAATAAAGCAACAGAGAATATAAGTGTGTTTGATCTTCACAGTCTGAGGTCAGTGGCTGTGATTACCAAACTCTGACACTGGGAAGGAAAAGGGTAATTTTCTGGTTGCTAGTGGTTAAACGAATTTCTGATTTTCAGCAGTAGCTGCCTTCATGCCTTAACATCGCAGGACTCATCCATTGCTGTTTCGCTGGTTTCTAGGGGCAGAGTCAGTTTTAGTGCCCTTGCCTCTATCAGCACTGTGACTGCAGAATGGCAGCTGCTGGTTCTCCTCCAGTGATCTGCTTTCACCACAGAACAGAATTTTTATCTCCGCCCATGCAGGCTAAGAAAAGTGACTGCATTTCCCAGGTTTCCTGGACTTCAGCTGCCACTGTCAAACTTCTGCACTGTAAGCCAAGGTGTCATTTGGTAACTTCTGAGAAATTTGAAACAATTGGCATTTGTCTTTAACCCCTTTTTCTTGATCTTTTGTCTTTTCCTGGGCCCAGGAGTTTGGGCATAACAGATCCACATGGACTGGTCTTCTTGATCCATTTCATGACCTTGGACGTTGCCCTGAGCAATGGAGCAGCACCAGGAAGGGAGAGTGAGTACCCAACAGCTCGGAGCACAGTTTCCTCGGGGACCATCCAGTCGGCTGTGTGGCAGCACACTGCTGCTTTATCTCCATCACTGACATTGTGGGTTGTGTCAGTGTCGCTGAGCCTAACCATCACTGAAGCAGCACACGCGGGTGTCATTGAAGCTGGTAGGGCTGTGCCGTGTTTCATTACACCGAAGACATCATCAAACGCGAAACAACAGCCTCACTTCAGAGGTGCTAAAAAGAAGAAAATGTGTGCCCGAAATGGGTGAGCTGTGGTATTTCCTAAGCTGAGTTCCTCGGAATACCAGTTCTGAGGAGTTTTAATAGGGAATTTAAACAGGAGTTTGAGCAAGTAGTTCCAAGAAACACTGAAATTAAGCAGATTTTTGCCTTCACTATAATATTTTCTATAAACTGCCAATGCAGGTGAGGCAGTAGAAAGATGTTGACCATTTTAAATGTTTCTGATTTGATCCAATACAAAATGCTTTATAAGATTTTACTTCATTTCATGTCATTTTTATTGTGAAGCTCAAAACACTACTGTCTTGTGTGTGATATGTGATGGATAAATACAGTGGACGCATAAATTTTTTTAAAATTTTTACAGCTAAAAACACATTTCTATTAATTCCTCTCCAAATACTCCCCCAGCTTGGAACACACTTATCCTAGCTTGCCACCTTCTGAGGAAGTTCTAGAAGTCCTTTTTGTGAGTGTCTTTAACTACATGACAGGGCTGTCTTGATGCGCTGAACTGATTTAAAACATGTACCTTTTGCGGTTGTTCTGACTTTCAGG